GCGGTCCTGCCCCTCTGTGGAAAAACAGGTTTACTGTATGGCCAGGTCCAGCCTGCAAAGCCGAGGCAAGTCACTCTTCCTGGCTTCGGACGGCGCAGTCCTGCTGGGAAGCGCTGTCCCCATGCTCTCCGGCAGCCAAAAAGCAAGATCCTTAATCAGCTGGCTGGGGTTATAAACAAGGTTAGTGAAATGCTTGTCACCCCCCTCCCCAGCCCCACTCCTGCTCTGTACCCAGGTGAGACGTAGGTGCTTTGGCCACATGAGCCATCTCCAGCCTCCACCGCCACCTCCCTGCCTTTCTTTATGCACATTCAAAAACCACACTGAGTAAACCAGGCAGGCCAAAGAGCACAGGCCTGGGTGGTGCAGGAGGTTGGCAATGGGAATGAGACGTATTTTTGCATTACCTTCACCCCTTGCACCTTGGGGAGCACCCAAATGAATGAATGAAGCACCAACAGCAAGCATCCTGCTACCTCATGGATGTAGGAGAAACATCAACAGCACTGAGAGGACTTTGGCAGTTACGTAATGGTTTGTAGATGCTCTGAACAGCAATTTGGGATGAAAAAATAAGTAATGAAAAATATCATTTCTCCTTCAGCCTACTGGAGGTGTTAGGCTGCGTGCAAGTACCTGACCTGGGAGCTGGCCAGCGTATGAGGTAATTAGTAGCAACTGCCTTGTGTAAAGTAGTATGAGGAGCCATCAGCTTCCCACCCGTGCCCAACGCAGCAAAGCGGTAGCACTGCCACCAGTGTGGAGCGCTGGCGGTCCGAGGAGGAGTACCGCTCCCAAAAATGCCCACAGCACAGTCTGCAGCCTCTCGCTGAGCCTCGCAGCCCTCCCCTTGAAGTAAAGCCACCAGTCACAGCCAATTCCGCTTGTGAAAACTGATGGGACTCCAGCCTGAAGAAGTGTGGAGTTTTCCATGGTCAGTTATTGTGCTGGCATGGCCAGCAGTTGCTATAATTAGCTGGCATGTGAATCACCCACACAAAATGAGTTTGCAGACTCAGTCTGATCTCTGTTGGACACTTATCATAAAGCCCTGTTTACAGCCTAGTTAAGAGCTGAATGGGAACGGAGGTGGAGGAAACCTTCTGCCCGGCCACCACTGCAACCCGCCGCCACTGCCTCTCCCCGCTGAGGCAGAAACGTCACCCGCGCACTGAAATGAAAAGAGCTGCTCCATCATCTCCAGTGCAGAAGGCAGGCATGGACCTTTGGTCCCATGGCAGACCAGCCTGGGTGACCTCAGCTGTATGTGAGCCTAGGTCCCCAGCACCAAGGTGAATTTACCCTACCCTTATAGTATAATAGTGGGAAAGGAAAGAGCGCAGAACCCAGGAATCTGCAGTCCTTGTCATTCATTGCCAATCCCATGCAAAATACTGTAATGGAAAATTAAGGTCGGGGGGGTACAACCTTATAGGAAGGTCTAAAGGGCTTGGTTAAAAGGTCACAATCTGACAAGATGTATTTCAGTAAAATGCAAAGGAAAACTGCGTTTAGGTGAGTCAAAGCCTAAGGGCCCATGCGCCTACAGAGAGAGAGGGATGGAGGGATGGAGGGGGGAAAGAGACCCCCCCCATGTCTCAAAGCAGTGCCTGATAAGGACTAAGGGACCCCTCAGGGCACCATCCTCCATGAAGTCCCAGCTGAGCTCAGCGGTTAAAAAAATAGGGGCCACATTTTTCCAGGGAGTGGTGGCGGTGGTGGAAAGAGGAGATTGCATGGTCCTCAGCTGGTGAGCTTGTGCCTGCACGCGGCTTTGGCAAGAGCGCTGGGGAGCTGCTGCTGCTGCTGCTGCCACCCCGTTCTGGACTGCACGCTTCGGGAAAAAGCCAACACGGGAGCTATGCAGCGGACACAGAAGAGGGCTGTGGAAATTGCAGAGAGGCTGGAAAACCTCCCTCGTGGTGCCCCCAAAGCCTCGAGGAGCGGCTCTGGTCGCCCCCTGCTCTGGAGCATCTGGCAGCGCGGGCTTGGAGGCGGCTAATGCAGCCCCAAAGCCCAGCTGAGGTTGCTGCATGCTGTCTGTATACGATTTATTGGCTACAGGTGCAGATGGGGGCAGTCAAACTCAGCCAGCAGCCAAAGACGGAGCCGTGGCGTTGGTGCCGCGACGCTGCCCCCCCCACAACAAGGTCACCACCATGGGGTCACCACCGCTTGCACCAGCTGGGCACTAATTTTCAGGGAACGCAGTTGGCAATGTCCGTGGGTGGGAAACGTGTCTCTCTGCTCCTGCTGCCCCCTCAGCCAGGCGGAGGGCGCCCGGCCGGGTCTCTTGCAGAGCAGCGCTGACACGCGGCACCGGCAGATGTTGGGCAGAGGGACAGGGCTTGGCCTTCCCTGCAGCTATGGGGCCAAAAATGGTATTTTACTGGGAGCTTGCTGGGTGCATTGCAAAAGAAAGAAGGGAGGTAGTTGGAAATGCGCTTGCTTTTCTGGATGGGAAAACACTGACGCCCTTTTGACTCCTATTTTGACCCTGGAATTGCAGAAAGACAGCGCAGTAGGTAACACAGCTCATAGAAATTGCAGCTGCTAAGTTTTCGCTCACCCTCCTCCCCGCTAATCTCATCCATGTTATTTCTCCTTTACCCTCTTGCAAATGAGAGAAAGTCCAGTCTCTGGGACCCACTCATATGATCATGAATCAAATGTATCAACAACAAAGTTCAAATCAGAGCTCTGCTCTGATCTCCACTTCGCCCTGCTCTTGTCCTACCAAAATTGAAGTAACCCACTGTATCACCTTTTCAGGGGACATGAAATATGATTTTATATGCATTGGAAAGTCACACTGAGGCACATTATGAAGAGCAGTGGAGTACTCACTATTTCTTATAGCATAACAAAGAAGCCTTTATTTAGTAATGAACTATTACAGCACAGTACAAAGATTTGCTTTGTTCAGTGACTAGAAATTGTTTGCAGATTTTTCTAGCCACCGGGAGTTGACAGTTCACTTAGGAAATCAAGTCTTAAAGAGAGAGCGCCTACACGCCTCCTTGGCTTGCAGTGCACTGTATTTTTAGCTCTCCCTTTCAGGTGTATTAAAGTAGTGAAACATTTGTGGATATATTTCTCAGTAGAGGAAGCAGACCCATGGCTTCAGCTGTCACCCCCTCATCTCATTCAGGAAAGCGGCAAGCTTCTTAGCCAAACTGCTGAAAGCAAGGTACAACAGGATGCGGCTCGGAGCAAACGCGTAGGGGCTGTTCGCTCTGGCACCAGGCATACGCACAGCTCAGGTGCCATAGGGGCTGACCCTCCGCTCTCTGCAGGAAACAGAAAACCTGGCGTAAATGGTGTGGCAAATGCTTGCGCTCACAGATGTGCCTCAATACCTGCGACAAGTCACCCACCCACCCACCTACCCCTCCTTGGATAATACAATTACCAGGTTGGTTTCTCACGATCCACCCTTAACCGCTTCCTTCATCTCAGTGAGCTTCTCGTGACAGGGTGAAAGAGCAGAAGCGCGCTTGTTCCTTTAACTCCAGGTGGTGGCACTTAATGAACATACCTTCTCCTACCTCTGCCTCTGCCTCTGGCTTTCCCAGAAATACCTAAGCACAAAGAGCAGAGCTGCCTTGATACCAGATCCTTTGGCAGGCTTAAAGGCACAAGATTTAAAGGCACATTTCTATCCAGAAATTAGACAAAGGGGATCTCTTAAAAATCCCAACAGAAAAATGGTTAATCGGTGTGCTGAGGAGGCTGAGGAACCCCAGCCCTTATTTCAAACAATTCAATTCCTAAATTCCCACATCATCTACCGAGGAGTTGGCTCCTAAAAATACGTGTCATACACATACAACCCCTCCTCCCCCCACACAGCGTTTTTGTTTGCTTTTAAGCAGATTAATTTACTTCCACTTTTCTGATGTTTCAAGGAAGGAAACTACATACAGAGCCTGAGCTAACCAAAAACATAGGGCCCCCCCCCTCCTAATCCATCCACCCCCTTTCTGCCAGTCAACTACCTACACCGTGGGGTTGGAAATTCAGCATTTGGCCCTTGTGCTTGCTTTTAGTGCCACTGAGTGGGACCTTTTGCAGTAGAGCTGAAAAGCCTCATCTCTCCTCCGTGCCTGCTTTGTACCGCCAGGCTCTGCTGTAATTTCTGCACGCGCCGCTGCAAGCAAATGCAAGGACAATGTCATGAAACTGGCTTGTCGTGTGCTGGGACAAAGCAGCAAGAAACTTGCCAAATGCATGGCCCTGTGACATCATTTGAGCTTTTGTATGTCCTTCAGTGGTGAGAAAGCGGGGAGAAAAAGGAGGGGGAGGAATTTGACTTGGAGCAGCTCTCTCTAACCATTTATTTACCTTGTGTGCATGCTTCATGCTCTTACTCACGGGTTACAGTCATGGGTGCACATGAGGTCTTGAGAGTCCTTAGCTGTAATCCCTCAGCAGAGGGGCTGGCTTATTGCATGCTCAAAGCATTTTTGCTTCATTAGTTTTCTCATCAGATAACAACATAAAGTAACATCAGCGCTGCTTCTGGCAACTGCTGCATTTCCTCTCTCCATGCGTCACTGACACACACATAGCATGGGAAATGCTCCTTTCTTTCAACATGCAGCTCAGTGCTAGGCCAGCGAGAGGACATGTGCAGAGCTGAGCAATGAGGAGTTGTAGCACAGGATGCAAAGAGCTAATGTCCTCCTGGAAGATGCCCAAATGTCCACAGCACTTGCGAGTGTTTTAGACGCACAGCTCTGCCGCAGATGACGAGCATCATCAGCGCCCTGCCTGCCTGGTGGTGTGCATGCTCGGCAGTGCTCGGAGACACTGTGGGAATAGGAAGATGGGCCCACTTTACTGATGTCTGAAAAGGACAGGTGGGAAGGAAAGGGAGGCCCGGAGAGGTGAAGTAACAGGGTCACACAGCGCGTTGCAGCGGAGGCAGGAAGGCAGTAATTCCAGCCTGCAAACAGAAGAACAGAGGTACCTGCAGCGGTTCAAAAAAAACATAAGTCTTGGCACCAGATTGATGTCCCACGGTGACTTTTACAGGCATTTTTCTTAGGCCATTTCCTTTCCGACATTACACTTCTTGCCTTCTGTCCCACAGTGAAGGACGCATTGAAATACGCTCATGCTGAGTATGCCAAGTCACCCTGCTCTCCTGCGGTTACACGGCGGTTTTTTGGCAATGCCCTCACCATGACTTGGCCCTTTGGTCCCACATCAAATCATCCGGTTTGGGTACCAGATAAAGGATGGGATGTGTGTAACGTTATAGGCCGGCACTTGGCCTCCTCATTGCCGCTCCTTTTTTATGCAAAGAGAAATGGGCACGATTCGCCTGACCTGTTTTAGACACTGACTTGGGGAGGGGATGACTCATAGCTATGCCTATATTTCTCCATTTTCTCCTCCATAAAGAGAGTCTAGCGTGACTAGCTCAGATGGAGACATCTATGTTTAGTCAGATGAATCCCACCCAAAGTGTCTGCAGCTGCTGAAGGAACATGAGATTTCTCATAATCACTTCCCTTCCCCATAGTTTTGGGGCAGAGAGAATTACTTGGGCTGATGAGTCCTTGCAGGATTCCTCAAAAATTGCACAAAATATGCTTGGAAGGATGTATGTCTGCTTGCATCAGGTCTTAATGTGGTACAGCAGGCTGTGAAGGTCCCAGGCAATAGAGGGCAACACAGCAATGGTGTTACCACATTCGCTGCTAGCAGTCAGCCTGAAAATGGAAGAAGCAAAGATAGTAACAGAAGGCGCATCCAAGACATCTCATGGGTTCATAGGGCTACTAAGTTGGCTACGTCCCAAGAGAAACAACTTCCGCTCTGTCCCCTGGCTCCTACCCTTACCTCCTCCTTCCGCCTTTCCATCTACGTTCTTCAGTCATTTCCCTCCTGAATAGAAACTTTTGGGAGGCTTATTTCCTTGCACCTGTTTCAGCTGTGATGTAACTACGGTAATAACTCAACCACTGTTGGAAGGAAGGTTACAGTTATTTCTCAGTTTCTTTTTTTTATTACGTTATGGTTATATTTAGAGAGGGGCCCAGATCAGATCTGCATGAAGTGGATGACGCCTACGGTTTGGGATGGCTTGGAGCTGGAGTCAGACCCCTTCATCTCAGCTGCTCTTTCTCTTGATAACGTGGTGAACCAAAACCTGAGATCCAAAGTTGGTAAAGTTCAAACATATGTTGCAGCGCAAACTGTAGATGAGGCCAGTCTCTGGTTGTGGTGGGAGAAAGCAATGTGCAGAAACTGAAATTCTGTCATACCATGAAATATCTTTATGCACCCCTGGATGAGAAAGAAAGTCATTAAGAGAGGTTGGGAAAGCCAGCTGTTGCCTTGCCTTCCAGAGGTAGTAAATGAGAGACTTAACACAGTGATCAAAGTTAATGGCAATAATGTAGGATTGCTATCGCAGGAATATTGCATATGTGGCCTCACTCCCTCTCCGCATATTTTATGATTTCATATCTTTAAATGATAGATAAAAATGTATTTTTGGCCCTCTTTTTTGGTGTGATGATTAGATGCTTTCTCGAAAGGGATGTTTGGACCTTCCAGCTCTCAGAGTTTAAGACGAGCCATTATGACCTCCCATGTGGCACAGGCCAGTCAGCAACTCCTCTATTAAGCCTGAAGCCTTCAGTCAGAAGAAGGCAGTGCAGTCCTCAGAAAACTAAACTGGTCTGTAGCACAAGTAAAGACCAGAGGAGACCCAGCCAGGGGGTGGATGTGTGCAATAACCCCAAATGGTTTTGGCAGATAGACCACATTGCAAGGAAACGCCCAAGCTCAGCAAGTAGTTCAGGGAGGTGGCAGTCACAGGCAAGACCCCAGCCAAGTCCCAAAGAGAGACAGCCGCACTGTACCAGGACATAGCTCACACCTTCAAAGTGTTTTCCCCATCAATTCCTGATGCTTCAGAAGAAGGTGAAGGAAAGCCGACAATGCACTGGCTGTTTTGTACTGGTGAAGAAAAGTCTGTGGCCCTTTGCAATCTGAAACCTTAAAGCAGAAGATCTGGCACGGCCACTGGCTCAGCGCAGAGCTGCAGCAATGAGGGCAATGCAAACTGCTCATCTCTTTCCATCACCATGAGAAAAAGGGACAGAAATGAAAATTCACAGAAGGCCAGAAGAGAGCCTCATCACTATCCCAGTCACACTTTACATGCCTGGGCCAGAGACGTTCTCTCATAAGGCAGATTCAGGCATAGTTTTTAAGTCCCCCAGCCACCAAAATTAGTGTTTTGCTATCTCCTGCCTGGCCATCATTAGGCACTGCTAGGAAGTAGCATCTCATGTCGCAGCTGAATTTGCCTAACTTCAGCATCCCACCATTGCAATTCTGTGATCCTCTGTCACAAAGACATAAGGAAACTTACTGAGAAAATCTGACCAGATCGCACACTTTAACCCTTACATGACAGAGAGGCTTTTATGTGCCCAGCCACCAAATCATTTCAGCGGCCCTCCTGGGACCCCTCCCCAGTGTTTCCATGTCCTCGCTGAGATACGGACACCAGTTGAGATCACTGCAGCCTACGGATGCGCCTACCAGTGCTTGTGCCTTCCCCGAGTCCAATTACTTACTGCTCCATTCCCAGGGTCAGATTGGCCCTTTTCAGCCCCGTTGAACCAGCAGCTACTGTGGCGGTTGTTACCACAGTGACCCCATAATCCTGTTTTCCAAGGCAGAGACGCCCATCCTGTAGGTACTGCCTGAACGCGTTGTTCCCAGATGTATTACTTTTCATTTAACTAAATTAAAACACATTTTCTTGGATTGTGACCGTTCAGCCAGGCAATTCCGATCCCTCTGTAACAGTAAACTATCCTCTTCATTATTTACTAGGCTGCAGGTGGACAGACTGAAACACTAGCTCTGCAAGGGCAGTCCCCATTCAGGTCAATGGACTGCTGATGCTGTACAATAATGACAACTATTTCAGTGCCCAGGGAATAGATTATTTCATAACTGACTCTTTCAGCTGAAATATCCAGCTCTTCTGAGATTTGGGAGCACATTTGGGATCACTGAAGGAGTAGCATCTTTTTATCTGCAGCCTGGCTCATCACTATACGATAACAACCTCTCACTGCCTCCCCCTCTCCATTTCCTCTGTATGTGGAAAATCACAGATAAGAAAGAAAGAAGGGAAACAAATTTACTTCATTACTTTATGCTCCGACTCAT